GTCCCTAGCTCGCCGGAGATCATCAACCAGTGCGACCAAGGCAGTTTCAGTCCCATGATGAGGCCTGAACCCCGATTGGAAGGGATCCAAATGGTCCGCATCCTCCAGGCGTGCCTGGAGTTGTTCAGCAACCACACGCTCAATCACCTTGCCCAAGAATGGAAGATTTGAGACTGGGCGATAGTTGGCCATACTGGCCGGGTCTAAAGATGGTTTTTTAAGAAGCGGTTTAATGACCGCCTCTTTCAGCGGATCTGGGAATGTTCCCTCACAGAGGGAAGCATTCACCACCCCGCAGAGCCCATCGCCCAGCCCTTCCCGGCTTGCTTTTATTAGCCAGGATGGGCAAGGATCAAAGAGACAGGTGGTTGGTTTCACGCGTCCAAGCAGCCTGTCCACATCCTCGGGGGTAACGGATTGAAATTGGTTCCATGCAACTTGACCAGACAGAGCTCTAGCACTCTCCCGCCCCAGCCCTGCTCCCACGGTGGTGTCTAGCTCCTTCCGAATATGAGTGATTTTATCTGCAAAAAACTTTGCAAAATCGTTGCAGGAGATCTTGGGGTCTTTACAAGGCCCCGATGTTAAAGGTGGTTCCGTTAAATTGCGGACCACCTGAAAGAGTCTCCTGCTACTATTTTCTGCAGATGCAATAGAGGCGGTGAAGAAAGTCTTCTTCGCCGTCGCTATCGCCACTTGGTAGGCTCGACGTTGAGCTCTAACCTGTGTCCGGTCAGATTCGGAGTGAGTTTTCTGCCACCGACGCTCTAGCCGTCTCAGCGATTGTTTCATCGCCCTCAGCTCCGAAGAAAACCACGGGGCTGTCCGGGCTCCATGCAATCGGAGAGGGCGCTTCGGAGCCAGACAGTCGATAGCCCTGGTTAACTCCACATTCCAGCGGGCCACCAGGGAATCAGCTGAAAGGCCATCAACATGGGATAAAGCATCCCCTACCACTCTCTGGAAACCATTTGGATCCATTAAGTGGCGGGGGCGGACCATCCGAATTGGTCCCACCTCCCTGCAGAGGGGAAGGGTCGTGGAGAAGTCCAGTTGCACCAGGAAGTGATCTGACCATGGCACTTCTTTAGTTTCACTTTTACTTAGTGTCAGATCACCCACGTCACTAGAGGTGAATACCAGATCTAAGGCATGTCCATGACTATGAGTTGGGCCCAACTTATTCAGGGACAGCCCCATGGAGGCCATGCTTTCCACGAAGTCCCGAGCGGCCCCTTGTAAGGTCGTGTCGGCATGGATGTTAAAATCCCCTAGGACAACCAAACTAGGTGTCTCCAGGAGAACATCCGCCACGACCTGAAGCAGCTTGGACAGGGAATCCTTGGTGCAGCGGGGAGGTCGGTACACCAAAAGGAATCCTGTACTGCCCCTATTGCCCAACTTCCAGAACATGCACTCAGAAAACTGGGTCTTCCCAGTAGGACGCCTGATGCAAACTAATGACTTCCTAAAAATCACTGCAACCCCCCTCCCCGCCCACATGACCTGGGTTGCTGTGCGTAAGAGAAACCTGGTGGGCAAGCGGCAGCAAGGACAGGCCCATCCGCTTCATCCAACCAGGTCTCTGTCACACATGCCAGGTCAAATCCTCCATCCACAATCAGGTCGTGGATGGCAGTGGTTTTATTCATCATTGACCTGGCATTACACAGCAACACCTTCAGGTTATGTGGGTTTCCCCTGTTGATTCCAGTATCCATCCGGTCAAGGCCAGACCCGGAGGCAGGGATAGTCTTCAAACAACGACTAAACCTGCCTCCTCGGTAATGACTGTGAGGCTTCATCTCCGGTAAGCGTAATGGAGAAAGCTCACGGAAGTGTGCCGGACAGTAAAGAGCTAATTGAGGGCCATAAATCAATTAGCGGGAGTCGCGCCAATATCATAATTCTCCACAATGACATGGTCTGGTCTTGGCGTAACTCCGCCTCCTGCCCATGATCACCGAGATCGGATGTCCCAGTGCTTCCCCCCCTGTGGAACTTGTCCCAGCCATCGTGTTGGCTGGGGCCCCACTCCCAGGCAGCCCTGATCCCGCCCCTTAAAAACAAAACACAAACTATACAGAACCAATAAAACAACAGAAAACAAAACAGAACAATTATACTAAAATTAATCCCCAACCAAATATCCATCCCACCCACCCACCCCCAACAAGGGAAAAAGGAAAAAAAGAAATACAAATTTAAATTGCCACCGACTGCTTGAGGACATTTTAAAACACATTGGAACAGGGAAGCAATTGCAGAACACTTCCCAGCTTCCCCAAAAGTTTGTTCCAAATAAGGGCCTGGGCCCCGCCCTGGGCCAGTTGGAAAAGGCCCTGGAAGGGAGCAGGCCCTGCAGTCCTCACCCAGCCGATGGTCCGAGGCTTCCCCACAGCAGGAGTCCCTTTATAGCCGGGAGAGAGGGCCTGGGCCAGGCCCCCTGGGCCAGTTGGAAAAGGCCCTGGAAGGGAGCAGGCCCTGCAGTCCTCACCCAGCCGATGGTCCGAGGCCTCCCCACAGCAGGAGTCCCTTTATAGCCGGGAGAGAGGGCCTGGGCCACGCCCCTGGGCCAGATGGAAAAGGCCCTGGAAGGGAGCAAGCCCTGCAGTCCTCACCCAGCTGATGGTCCGAGGCTTCCCTGCAGCAGGAGTCCCTTTATAGCTGGGAGAGAGGGCCTGGGCCACGCCCCCTGGGCCAGATGGAAAGGCCCTGGAAGGGAGCAAGCCCTGCAGTCCTCACCCAGCCGATGGTCCGAGGCTTCCCTGCAGCAGGAGTCCCTTTATAGCTGGGAGAGAGGGCCTGGGCCACGCCCCCTGGGCCAGATGGAAAAGGCCCTGGAAGGGAGCAAGCCCTGCAGTCCTCACCCAGCCGATGGTCCGAGGCTTCCCTGCAGCAGGAGTCCCTTTATAGCCGGGAGAGAGGGCCTGGGCCACGCCCCCTGGGCCAGATGGAAAAGGCCCTGGAAGGGAGCAAGCCCTGCAGTCCTCACCCAGCCGATGGTCCGAGGCTTCCCTGCAGCAGGAGTCCCTTTATAGCCGGGAGAGAGGGCCTGGGCCACGCCCCCTGGGCCAGATGGAAAAGGCCCTGGAAGGGAGCAAGCCCTGCAGTCCTCACCCAGCCGATGGTCCGAGGCTTCCCCGCAGCAGGAGTCCCTTTATAGCCGGGAGAGAGGGCCTGGGCCACGCCCCCTGGGCCAGATGGAAAAGGCCCTGGAAGGGAGCAGGCCCTGCAGTCCTCACCCAGCCGATGGTCCGAGGCTTCCCCGCAGCAGGAGTCCCTTTATAGCCGGGAGAGAGGGCCTGGGCCACGCCCCCTGGGCCAGATGGAAAAGGCCCTGGAAGGGAGCAGGCCCTGCAGTCCTCACCCAGCCGATGGTCCGAGGCTTCCCCGCAGCAGGAGTCCCTTTATAGCCGGGAGAGAGGGCCTGGGCCACGCCCCCTGGGCCAGATGGAAAAGGCCCTGGAAGGGAGCAGGCCCTGCAGTCCTCACCCAGCCGATGGTCACTGTACACCGGCTCCCTTGGCCAATAAAGCAAGATGAGCGCCACAACCCCAGAGTCGGCCACGACTGGACCTAATGGTCAGGGGTCCCTTTACCTTTACAGTGGGAAGTTCTCCTGCACATGCCGTGTTGAATTGGATGGGCAACCACATTGGATGGATTTGGGGTGCCCCCCAAACACAAATGAATGGGAAGACCAGGATAATTTTGTCCCCTTTTTCTCTTTGGGTTCTTACTTATAAAAGAAACAAGCAATTTGCTTTTAATAAACTTTCAAATATAGGAGGGAAAGCTGTCATCAAGAGAGTCCTGAACTCTCTTTTTTTTTTTTTTTGCAGCTTGATCGATAGGGATAGGCAGTTGAATAGATGTATTTTGTGACACCTTTTGTTTGATAGCATGCGCGACGGTGGCTCATCGGAGGGGTCTGGCATTATGCAGATAACTGGGAACCTCGAGCACTCGGCCTCGAAATAATTAGCTTCTGAACTGTGTTGTTTAAGGTTGCTTTTTGTGTTCACATCAGGGCACCTGACAGTGTGATGCCAGTACGGGCATTTTACTACATTTAAAGGGCAAGAGCTGAATGCTTGTTATTTCTTCCTCGTGGCCAATGCCTAGTGAGCCTAAGGTTACAACCCAGAGCCATTATTGGGGATCAGCACTGATTGAACCCCTGTTAGAGCTCATGACCCAGCAAGGGGCCTGTTGCCAACACCTGGAGAGCCTAGCTGCTGCTGCTGCTGCTGCTACTCTTTGTCCTTAATGCTGCTGCCATTTTGCCTGCCCTCTGAATAAACAACCAGCAATGGAGCAAGGAGAAGGTGTGGGAGCCCGGGTGCTTCTCTCTGCCTCTGGGCGATGCTGCAGTTTGGGCCACCTAAGACGCGGGTGGCGCTGTGGGTTAAACGCTTGCCGATCAGAAGGTTGGCGGTTTGAATCCCCGCGACGGGGTGAGCTCCCATTGCTCGGTCCCTGCTCCTGCCAGCCTAGGAGTTCGAAAGCACACCAGTGCAAGTAGATAAATAGGTAACACTCCAGCGGGAAGGTAAACGGCTTTTCCGTGCGCTGCTCTGGTTCGCCAGAAGCGGCTTAGTCATGCTGGCCACATGACCCGGAAGCTGTACGCCAGCTCCCTCGGCCAATAAAGCGAGATGAGCGCCGCAGCTCCAGAGTCGGCCACGACTGGACCTAATGGTCAGGGGTCCCTTTACCTTTACCTTTAAGAGAGAGAAAGCAAAGGAGGAGTGGCTTTTGAAAGTAGTGGGCTATGCAGAAATGGCAAAAAGCGGACAGCAAAATTAAGAAATCAAAATAAGGAACTTTTTATAGAAGAATGGGGAGGCCTTTCATGGACTACTTTAAAAAAACAACAACATGACAGCGGGCAGGAGTCGAGATAAAAGCAGCAGACGAAAAATGGCAAAATCATTGTGACAGAAGCTGTTTGTAATAGATAAAACTATATCACAGTAGAAAAGGTTTGAGTAAAAATGCTGCGGAGGTGAGGGTGGGCAGTAAGCTTATGTAATACTGTAATTATTTGATTTGAAGGTTATTGTGAAAATATTTGAAAAAAATTATATATATGTGTTTGTATATATATATTTGACAATTTTTTCACCCTCTCAGCACACTGCTATTTACTAAAAACAGTTTGGGAATGACTGCCTCAGGCAAAGAGACTTGTGTAGTATCATACAAACATAATGTAATGTGTTTCATATAATAAAACAATAATTTTGGGTTGTTTGTTTTTTAAGAAGGGAAAACTGGACTTGTAATAGATTTCTTTCTTTCTTTCTTTCTTTCTTTCTTTCTTTCTTTCTTTCTTTCTTTCTTTCTTTCTTTCTTTCTAGACTTCATTCAGCTTATGCACAATGCATCAAGGACCTGGAAGTCAAAAAAGCTCAGATACTTGCCTTGGAAAAACAGCAGGAAAATCAGCAGAAAGAGCTGAACCAGGTACGTTCTGATCTTATTCCGTGGGTCACAATTAAGGAAAAACTATGATCCAGGCTGTAGAAGGGCATTGGCGCATGAGAAAGAAGCTTTCTGGGCTAACTGTGGGTCTCAGATCTCTCTTCTCCAGATTAATGCAAGTGTTCTAAGTGTATTTCCAATGTGCCGTCAGTGTTATCAGCATCCAGTCACTGCTCTTAAAGCTGGAAGTGGAATAACAACTCTACTTCCAGACTTTTACACACTTCTTTTGCTCACTGGGCAGTCCGCCTTTCTCAAGCCCCGAGTGTTTTGCAGGGGTTGGGGTAATTTTCATTGGGATTGTGGTGTGGGAGAGAAGCACTCCCAGTTATGATTACTGCCCCACTCCATCCTGGCTGTGGTTTAAGGAAGGCGGTGCAGAATATAAAGGCGATGCTGTTGGGAAAGGGAAGAGAGGGATGCCAACCAACCAACCAGAGGGATAAAACGGACTCCTAAAGAGGCGAGAGACGGAATTGGCTTCAGCAGGCAATAATCTGCCAAAAAAGCTATCGAACAGCTGCACAGCGGGCTGTCTGCACTTGGGGCGACTGCATAGCTGTCGCTTTTTTGTTTAAAAAAAAAGGAAAAAGCAAGAAAGTTGGATTTTCCGAGCTCTGAGAAAGGAAGGAAGCTGAACAGGTAAAATATGGGCAGGGTATGTCTTAAGGGACGCGGGTGGCACTGTGGGTTAAACCACAGAGCCTAGGGCTTGCCGATCAGAAGGTCAGCAGTTCGAATCCCCGCGACGGGGTGAGCTCCCGTTCCTCGGTCCCTGCTCCTGCCAACCTAGCAGTTCGAAAGGACGTCAAAGTGCAAGTAGATAAATAGGTACCACTCCGGTGGGAAGGTAAACGGCGTTTCCATGCGCTGTTCTGGTTCGCTAGAAGTGGCTTAGTCATGCTGGCCACATGACCCGGAAGCTGTACGCCGGCTCCCTCAGCCAATAAAGCGAGATGAGCGCTGCCACCCCAGAGTCGGCCACGACTGGACCTAATGGTCAGGGGTCCCTTTACCTTTATGTCTTGATCAGAACATCACGCAGATGTAAAAAAGGGAAGTGGCCAAAGTTTGGCCATTCTACAGTAAATGGAAAGTGTGGATGCAGCCGGAATTGGTGCTTCTCAGACTGCCTCTTCTTAGAGAATTGTAGACCTGGAAGGGGCCCTGAGGATCACCTTTTAATGCAGGAATATGCAGTTGTCCTATACGGAGGTTGAACCTGCAACCTTGGTGTCATCAGCATCAACTGAGCTATCCATTCACTTGCCTTACATGCCGCAGATAATTTTGCAGCCTGTTCGAGGTCACACTGTCAAGTCCCACTGAATGTCCAACCAGGCCTGTTGGTCTCTGCCCATGTGGATTACATAATAATAATAATAATAATAATAATAATAATAATAATAATAATTAATTTATTATTTATAACCCGCCCATCTGGCTGGGTTTCCCCAGCCACTCTGGGCGGCTTCCAACCAAATATTAAAAACAATACAGCGTCAGACATTAAAAACTTCCCTAAACAGGGCCGCCTTCAGTTGTCTTTTAAAAGTAAAATAGTTGTTTATTGCGTTGACATCTGCTGGGAGGGCATTCCACAGGGCAGGGGCCACTATCGAGAAGGCCCTCTGCCTGGTTCCCTGTAATCTCACTTGTCGCAGCGAGGGAACTGCCAGAAGGCCCTCGGCGCTGGACCTCAGTGTCCGGGCTGGAAGATGGGGGTGGAGACGCTCCTTCAGGTATACTGGACCAAGGCCGTTTAGGGCTTTAAAGATCAGCACCAACACTTTGAATTGTGCTCGGAAACATACTGGGAACCAATCTTTCAGGACTGGTGTTATGTGGTCTCGGCGGCCACTCCCAGACAACAGTCTAGCTGCTGCATTCTGGATTAATTGCAGTCCGAGTCACCTTCAAAGGTAGCCCCACGTAGAGCGCATTGCAGTAGTCCAAGCAGGAGATAACTAGAGCATGCACCACTCTGGCAAGACAGTCCGCGGGCAGACAGGGTCTCAGCCTGCATACCAGATGGAGCTAGTAGACAGCTGCCCTGGACACAGAATTGACCTATGCCTCCATGGACAGCTGTGAGTCCAAAATGACTCCCAGGCTGCACACCTGGTCCTTCAGGGGCACAGTTACCCCATTCAGGACCAGGGAGTCCTCCACACCTGCCTGCCCCCTGTCCCCCAAAAACAGTTCTTCTGTCTGGAGTTGTAATCCAAACATCTGGAGGGCACAAGTGGGCAGAAGCTGCCTGAGGAACTTGGGGGGGGGGCTTTTAAATATTGCAGCATTTAAGAGCGCTGATTTCACTTACACCCGCCTCCTAAAGCCATCAGTTTTTAAGGCGAGAGACATCCTTGGTTCTTAGGGACTTTGAAACGCATCTCCAGCGTGTATGAAGCATGTGCCCAGTACCCCTTAATATTGCCAGAGGGGCAAATTGCATGTAAGAGTGCAATGAAAATCAATGGCAATTCATAAGGAAATAGAATACAACTGAACGTTGCTTGATTGGCCCTTTTTATATTGGCATCCAGAAGGGCTGTATTGTTCTAAGAAACAGGAGGATTTATTGGCATCTCGGTATTTGTTATTGGCAGAAAACTTATGAAAACCCACAAGCTTCTTTATACTCTCGGGGGAGAGCGAAGCGGTACAGGAAATGTGACCTTCAAAGCTAATAGCATAGAACAACCCATTAAATAACACTAGTGGCAAGCTTATTTTCTCTGAGAGTGGGCCTTTTTTTCCTTTTTTTGTAACACTATGTCAGCATAGCCTTTATTTATTTTTATCATGTTTTCTCTTTAGTGAGCTGCTAAAAGTTATTTCTGGTAGTACCTGGTACTTTAACTATTGACTTTCCTTGCTTAGAGGGGGAACAGCAGACTCCGGTTACTACCTGCAACCTGCTTTTAAAGCTGATATAAGTAGTTTCTAACCATTTAGCCCTTTTGGAAAATCCCTTTGCCTCTCCGGATTCTCCTTGGAGAAAATTTGGGGGTAGGCCCTGGGCTTCTGGGCTTGCTATCCCAAACTCCTTCCCACTCTCTTCACTGCAGGGATAAGAGAATACCTTGAATTGCAAGGTGAAGGATGTCCCCGTGTTTTCTCCGTAAATGAGAGTGTAGAAGGGAATCGACATACAACTGCTTGCCTGACGCTCACTCTCCAGGGTACGAATTAGTCAACATCACGTCCAAACAGTGTAACATTACACTTTGTGACATCAACAGCATTGACGGAACATACTCTGAGCATTTGTTTGCTGATGCAGATATCCTTCCGTTTTCGCGAATGCCAAAAATGGCATTTTGCAATTTTGCTCAGAACTGAACAGAACAGAACAAGTCGCGTTTGCTGTGTGGTGATCACAGTAAAGTGAAGGACCAACAAGGCAATATATGCAGCTTGATAGCCCACCAACCACTTTCATCCTATGAATGTTTTAAAACAGTGGTAGGCAGGGAGCAAAATGGGGACCTCTGTGCCTCCATGCCTCTTCGGAAATCTCCCCAGGTTGCATGCTGTTTCAAATTCTGAATGTTTTTGACTGGCTGGGATGTGTCCTTGACCTCTGAAAATGCCTCTTGTTCATCTGGGTGGCAGATAAAGAGGAATGTGTTAGAAACTAGCCTCCTCCTCCTCCTCCTCCTCCTCCTCCTTCTTCTTTGGCAATCACTCGTAGCCGAGTAAGATTGTCTTCCATAAACACGGCTTTAACAAAGTGACTGTGGAGGCCAATTCCGGACCCACACGTCCTTCCACAGTGGGGACATAGGTTCCTGGGCGGGAGTTGGTCACTGTGTGGATTTGCCAAGCGTGCCTTCCCCTTAGCACGTTTCTCCCTTGCGCCCTGAGTTCGAGTGTCTTCAAAGCCCATGACACCTTTGGTAAAGGCTGTTCTCCAACTGGAGTGCTCGCAGGCCAGTGTTTATACTACATTTTTAAAGATTTGCCTTGAGACAGTCTTTAAACCTCTGTTGTTGACCACCAGCATTACGCTTTCCATTTTTAAGTTTGGAATAGAGTAGAGTAGAAGACGGTAATCAGGCATCGGCACAACATGACCAGTCCAACGAAGTTGATGTTGAAGAATCATTGCTTCGACACTGGTTTGCTTCATCCAGTACACTGATATTAGTTTGCATGTCTTCCCAAGTGATGTGTAAGTTTTTTTGGAGACACCGTTGATGGAATCTTTCGAGAAGTTGGAGGTGGCGTTTGTAAGTGGTCCATGTTTCACAAGCATACAGTAAGGTTGGTAGTACAATAGCTTTGTAAACAAGCATTTTGGTTTCCCTGCTAATGTCCCAGTCCTCAAACACTCTGCACTTCAATCGGGAGAAAGCCGCACTCGCAGAGCTCATGCGATTCTGGATTTCGGCATCAGTGTTGACCCTTGTGGAAAGATAACTGCCTAGGCAGGAGAAGTGATCGACATTTTCCAGTGTTACACCATTGAGTTGGATTTATAGTGCTGCAGAGGGGTTATTTTGTACTTGTTGGTGCGGCACTTTGATTTTTTGGATGTTGAGTGACAAGCCAAGCTTTTCGTAAGCTTCTGAGAAGATATTTAGGATGTATTAGCCTATTGTACAAAAGTAAAAACTTACGTTCGTCACATTTTCTGTGATTCACACATTTGCGTTTTTTACGAATATTTATTTGTGTAGCTGAAACCATTAGAAAACAAACAAACAAGATACATAACTGGGATAGCTCAAGTCAGTACAGCATGAGACTCTTAATCTCAAGGTCGTGAGTTCGAGCCCCACATTGAGCAATAGATTCCTGCATTGCAAGGGGTTGGACTAGATGGTTCTCATTGTCCCTTCCAACTCTAAAGTTCTATGGTTCTATGAAAATAAAATGCACAACACAGTTATTAAAACCAGGCATTCTGTCAAATAGAAGTTTGCTTCCCTGGATAATTTAACTTGCATTTTCATTTTATATTTATATCGTAATGGCCACTGGCTACAAACAATGATACAACTTGACCGCATCTGTTGCTCCACCCACTTTTGCCTCTGGCCACGCCCCCCTGCCATGTGGCCCCAAGAAGGTTGTATAGAAGGAAATGTGGCCCCGGTCTGAAAAAAGTTCCCCGCCACTATTATAAAATACCAGAGGTTGGACTGCCGGGTACATTAACATTGGTGGGTAAATTTTCTTTCACTTGACATCCTTTCGGCAGGGGTGCCAACTTGAAAAAAATACTGTGGGGGCCCAGGTAAGCCCCGCCCCGCAAAATCGATCACATGACACAGTATACACACCCCATTTGAATGGGAATACCAATCAAATTTGTTGAGGCCCGGCCTCCTCAAATATTTTATTGTGGGGGCCGAAGCCCCCATGCTCGCTCAGAGTTGGCTCCTATGATTCTTGGCATGTAGTGTTTAAGCAAGAGAGGAGGTGGAAAGTGTGAACTCTAAACTGAAACACAGAGAAGCTGGTCTGAATCGTAAGCCTTTCTAAATCTCTGCGCTATCGCTAACACGGCTGGTAGGGCTGCTGTGTTGGAAACGGAGAACCCCAAAAGTTGGTGGTATGTGAAAAAAACGATGCTATCTGCAATGCCAGCGCTCATTCTTCCCTATTTGCTGCAGATAAGGGACCGCCTTTATCAGGAAGAACAGTCCCATCGCTCTGAGGTGGAAAGAATGAGGACGGAAATCTCTGACCTGACAGAAGAGCTTCATCAGAAGGAGATTACTATAGCAACTATCATGGAGAAAGCTGCTCTACTGGAAAGGCAGTTACAAACGGAGTTAGAGATAAAAGAGAAAATGTTAGGGAAACAACAGGTATGCAAACAGAATAAAAAGCAGCGGACGTCATTTGGTCCTTACGGAGATTAGCACCTATTGACGTTTAAGGAAGCGATTGCCTCATAGAATATGGGCAGGGAGTGGCGGGGGGGGGGGGACAAGACTACAGCAGGAAATAAGACCATTTGACATAATGCTAATCTTACACTTATCATACAGAACCAAGCATTCTGGGGTTTATACTCCTAGCATACACATGAACATCTTTCCAATGTTCCTGCTCATGTCTCTTCCCTATAACCTGCAGTTTCTTAGCAGTATTTGCTGATCTGCATTACTTTTCTGAATTTCTTGTTAGGATTATTTGGGTGTGGCACCCATGGGCGTAGCCAGGATTTTTGTTACGGGGGGGCGGAGGGCAGCCAAAGTGGTTGAGATTTTTTAAGGAAATCCAAGTTGTCAAGCTTTTCTTGGAAAATCACGGTTAAAAATACCCCATAAAGAAGGCGTTGTGGGGATCAGGCTTCTGCTGGGGGCTAGGGGAGAAACTCAGATAATTGAGTACTTTTAATGCTTTTCGAAAATAGTCGTGGATTCTATGTCCATGATGGCACCTGTAGACCTTGCAGTTCAAATTGTGCTAATAAGCAATTCACAGCACTGTGGTTCTTCCTGCACCACCAGAAATTGCAAGGGGAGTCGCGGTTACATGCTTAAAGTCAAATCTCTGTTAGCATCACCAAATTGACCTCCCCTGAGTGCAAGCCTGGGCAGTGTGTATGAAGGCATATATGAATGAATTTATTAATACGAGTTACAGATAGGTAGCCGTGTTGGTCTGCCATAGTCAAAACAAAAAAAATTCCTTCCAGTAGCACCTTAAAGACCAACTAAGTTAGTTCTTGGTATGAGCTTTCGTGTGCATGCACACTTCTTCAGATCTGAAGAAGTGTGCATGCACACGAAAGCTCATACCAAGAACTAACTTAGTTGGTCTTTAAGGTGCTACTGGAAGGAATTTTTTTTTGTTTTTATTAATACGGTCACAGACCAGCTTCAACACACACAATATCACAGATCATAAAAAATATCAGAAATACAAGGGACAATATGCAATAACAAGAATTTAAATATAAAAATTAAAATTAATTGTTAGCGTGCCCCCTGTAATTAACATTTAGGGGATTGGACATTATGGGATACCACTTGCTTCCTGCGATTGATTGCAGACGCACAGAATTTAGCTACATTTAATGTAGTCTTGGGCTTCTTGTCCTCTAGCAGTAGCTTTAGACTATGGTATTCCGATTCTTTCCTAGACTTTTGCAAAACAGGTGTAATAAAAGTCAAACGTATATGCTCATAAAGACGACAACGTAATAGTACATGTGAAGCAGTTTCAACTTCCAACGAGCCACAAGGACAGACCCGTGCTGTGTATGGTTTACCCTCAAATCTATATGAAGGCATATAGATATATACGTGTGTGTGTGTGTGTGTGTGTGTGTGTGTGTGTGTGTGTGTTAACATTTAAATGTGCGGTTCCCCACCTGTACTCTGAAGTGCTGCTTTTGACACATATTTGCCTTCCTAACCATATGTCAGAACTATTTCAGCATAGTGCGACCCCACCCTGCAGGACCATGTGTGTGAATAACATAAAACCATGTGAGCAGGGTCAGTCCCATGCCCTGCAGCCTAAGACCACACCATGCTGAAGTGTTTGTGTCTGAGTGTAGTGTACCTGAATCAGCTTTCAAAGAGAGGGTGGGGAAATCAAGGGCATATAGCACACCAAGCAACTGTTAAATCACATTGTTTATATTTATAATCTGGGCAGGCCGCTTTAGGAAGTAACAGCAGAATGGCCACTGATCTTGTCTATCAAAACTTGCTTTTATTTTCCATTCCGCCCACAGGAAATCACTCGCACAGTGTCTAAGCTTGAGGATATTACATGAATTTTTTTACACTTGAAAGTTTTTATGCTGATTACTTCTTGTCTTTTTGGAAAACACAGAGCCTCTTGATATTGAAACAAGAATTTAGTTTGTTGGAATGCTGCACTCCAGAGTGGTGTGTTTAATTAACAAATCTGAGCCGTTCAAGGCCTCCATTTAAAGTTTTTGAAACGTCTGCTAAACTTCCCGACCCCCTTTGCAAATTGTTGTTGTTGTTTAGTCATTTAGTCGTGTCCAACTCTTCGTGACCCCATGGACCAGAGCATGCCAGGCCCTCCTGTCTTCCACTGCCTCCCGCAGTTTGGTCAAACTCACGCTGGTAGCTTTTAGAACACTGTCCAACCATCTCGTCCTCTGCCGTCCCCTTCTTCTTGTGCCCTCAATCTTTCCCAACATCAGGGTCTTTTCCAGGGAGTCTTCTCTTCTCATGAGGTGGCCAAAGTATTGGAGCCTCAGCTTCAGGATCTGTCCTTCCCGTGAGCACTCAGGGCTGATTTCCTTCAGAATGGAGAGGTTTGATCTTCTTGCAGTCCATGGGACTCTCAAGAGTCTCCTCCTGCAGTGAATCATCTGCAAATAGAATCATATAATTTTGTATGATGATTATGATTAGTAGTAATAACAAAAACAAAACTGGTTAATTCAATTTCTTATGCACTACTGGCGCATCCTCTAGACCAGGGGTCAGCAACCTAAGGCCCATGCGCCAGAAGCAGCCCACGGAGGTCATTTTACCGGCGTACAAGCTGCCCATGAACGTGCTGTGCTAAACCAGTGCAGCGCGGCACGGGGACTTGCTTCCGCGGCACCAGAAATTGCATCTGCACAGGCGCAGGCACTGGAAATCGCATCTGTGCACACGCAGGCACCAAAAATCACGGGCGGGCGTACAATCCGTCCCATGGAGGGATTTCCACGGGACTGATCCGGTCCAGGCAAGATAAACCTTGCTGACCCCTGCTCTCGACAACTTACAGTAAAATGTTAAAAAACCAGTCCAGCATGAAAGAACCCTTATTCCATAAAAACAGTGGAACAAGACAAACGACTAAGCCCAAGTTATCCCCATCCACATAGGAACATAACTGTGGTATCAACTTCAGCTGGTAAAAGACGCTCCATGATATTGGGGTCCAGCAATATATGGAGGGCCACAGCTTCTACCTCTCTGATAAATCAAGGGGGGAATATGGAAATATACCCTTGCCTCCACCATCAAGTGCTTTTCAACCTGGAAAAGAAATGCAGACTCAAAATATTATATTTGTCCTTAACAGCCAGTAATATCGCTTTGGAGAGCCCACGGGCATTCATCTCTCCCTTTTTTTATCTGCCATTCAATAAAAGCCCCAGTGATCAGATAAACCTGCAAAGATGTTTTATCTGAAGAACTGTTTTTGTTAAGGAATGCAAAAACCCACAAGCCTATTACGAGAGAGACTTCAGGTCTGAAGTAAATGGGATGGAGGCTGAAATCCTAAACATGCTTTCTAAACTTTAGAGAGCGAGTTCCATCAAGCTCCAACTTCTGAATAAACATCCTTAGGATTGTGCTGTAAATCAGCTTATAGTCAAGTATTCCAGTTTAAGTGTATGGTGAATTAGGCTGTTTATACGAAGTGCTTGAAGTTCAGATCCAGCATTTTCCTGCAGTTGAATGATAATGGAGTGTTTGAGAGCAGAATTCGAGCTTTTCCCCTCTTTTAACTCCCACTGAGGTGTGAAGAGTTCATTGCATTACAAAATAAATATATATGTGTCTGTGTGTCCCTTGCATATTTTATATCCCATGCTATGAAAAACCGTCTCCCCTTGTATTTCTTAGTGTCACTGCAAATCTATGATTGAACTTTGTAGAAGCTAAGCAAATTAAACATTTTGTAAAAGTCCCATTGCTTTTTAATGGAACAGGAAAGTTTGTGTGTGAGAGTTTGCTCTGTTTTAATCAGTGGGATCATGTCTCCCGTTTCCTTAATAAACCGCCTCCAAAATATTTAACATGGCATTGGTTATGCTTTTTTTAGTCAGCACTTTTAAGGCAATTTTTCTCATTGACACGAGGATATTGCAATTTTATACATAAAGATTTTGAAGGAATTATGTGGTTACAACTTCAGCATTTTTCTACAATTCTCTCTTTCTGGAAGCATAACTTGAGGGAGTGTTATAATGAAAATATTTACAACTCTGGCAGCTAAGGATGTCTTCTGTGCCTCTTTAAGACTTCTGAGGCAAGCAGTTCAAATGTGTTGAGTGATTTGAAAAAAAGAAAATGAAAACGCAGTTTGCAGGGTTCATTGAGCAATTGTAATATGGTGCTTTTTTTGTGTTACACAGGCTATTATCCTTTCTACCCATTTGTCTTGTTTGCTATTTCTGGAGGCAGTTCTGTGAGGGTTATCATTTACAATAAATGCTGTATGATTACATATGGTAAATAAGCAGTGAAAATATTGCCCCGTGCCTGTTTCTTTGTTGAATTGTGTGAATTCAATTATGATGAAGTTGTAAACAAACTGATCTTTTTTATAAAAAAAAGAAACATAAAACAAAACAATTCCTTCAACAGATGATAGATTTGTCCAAGAAAGAATACGCGGCCTATTCCGATTCCATCGATAAGCTGGAGCGCCAGAGTGGAATGTTACGCAATGACCTTGCGAAATTGCCAAAGGACAAAGAAATGCCTTTGCGAGTGAACCCCATTATGTACTTTGGAAGAAATTGTGCCAAGCAGACGGCAGTAAAAGTGGAAGAGGCAGAAGAGAGGTAGGTGCATGACTGTACACAAATAACTGCACTTTGTCTCTCCGTAAGTATTCTTTTTTCTTCTCTGACGTCTTCAAGGCGAGTGAAGGGGAATTGCTCTGTGAGTGACAAGGTGCCTTGCTGGCCAAACGGTCAACCTGGTCAATGCTCTCTTTCCAATAACAGCTAAACCAGGGGTCAGCAAACTTTTTCAGCAGGGGGCCACTCCACTGTCCCTCAGACCTTGTGGGGGGCCGGACTATATTTTGGGGAGGGGAAATGAACGAATTCCTATACCCCACAAATAACCCAGAGGTGCATTTTAAATAAAAGCACACATTCTACTCATGTAAAAACACGCTGATTCCTGGACTGTCCGCGGGCCGGATTTAGAAGGCGATTGGGCCGGATCCGGCCCCCGGGCCTTAGTTTGCCTAAAGGTAAAGGGTAAAGGGACCCCTGACCATTAGGTCCAGTCATGACCGACTCTGGGGTTGCAGTGCTCATCTCGCTTTATTGGCCGAGGGAGCCGGTGTTTGTCTGCAGACAGCATCCGGGTCATGGGGCCAGCATGACTAAGCCGCTTCTGGTGAACCAGAGCAGCACACGGAAACGCCGTTTACCTTCCCGCCGGAGCAATACCTATTTATCTACTTGCACTTTGACGTGCTTTCGAACTGCTAGGTTGGCAGGAGCAGGGACCGAGCAACGGGAGCTCACCCCGTCGCGAGGATTCGAACCGCCGACCTTCTGATCGGCAAGTCCTAGGCTCTGTGGTTTAACCCACAGCGCCACCCGCATCCCAAGTTTGCCTACCTATGAGCTAAACCATATGCCTCTAGCTTGCAAGCAGCTGTTTAGCATCAGCATCAGCAGCCTGGATCCTAGCATCTGAGACACAGTTCTTTGCAGCTGTAAAACTGAGGAGGGTGGGAAGGTGCTAGCCTTGCTATGCACAAGGACTGTCAGGGACTTCAAGGAGGTGGGCACAGCATGCCCTAGGATACTAGAGGCAGACTTGGCATTTGTGTCACCTGCCCACACTTGGAGAATTTGTGGAAAGAAATGTCAGTCTCTCAACATTCCATGCCACACAGTTCTTAACAGGGTTTTGTACTGAATATTTTTGTGCTCTGCAATTAAGGAATGTTGCTTCAATATGCGATCACAGCGGAGAGACACTAACACGGACACAGGCGGAAGAATTTACTGTTGTCACTCAGTATGGAGGCATGGTGGTGGGAATTACCAGAGGTCAAGTTGATATTAAAGAATAAGCTCAGTTGACATTTACTATTAGTAGTAATAATTTGGAAAGTCCTCTTGGACGTTTCATGGGAAAAGGAAATGAGTGATTTTGAGATGCTTTGATTTAAAGGAAATATTGCTTAACAGAAAGTAGAGATGATGTTCGGCCCAGTCACTGAGATTCAGCACTGAGGGCCTTCTGGTGGTTCCCTCATTGCGAGAAGTGAGAAGTGAGCTTACAGGGAACTAGACAGAGGGCCTTCTCAGTGAAGGAAATAAGCAGCTATCTTTAAGAGACATCTGAAGGCAGCCCTGTTTAGGGACGTTTTTAATATTTAATGCTGTATTAACACTTGATTGGAAGCCACCCAGAGTGGCTGGGGAAACTCAGCCAGATGGGTGGGGTATAAATAATAAATTATTATTATTATTATTATTATTATTATTATTATTATTAGTCATCGTGGACTGAATGTCTTAAATGCCTTTTTCTTATGAAATGGAAAATCAGAAGTCCTTTTTATTTTTCTTTATTGTTCTTTTCCCCTTTCCTTTTTCTTCTCTATTTCCTTTCTTCTTCCTGCTTATTCTCTATTCTCTTATCATGAAAAACTTTACTAAAAGATTCCAACATGCAAAAATATTATTGTGGCCTGCCGTCTTGTACAGTTCTTCTTTGGAAATGGAAACGGAGAGTTGGGAAACAATTCTTTCATCAAGGGATAGGACATCTCAGGAGGCAAAGGGAGTCCTCCACAATCTGTAGAATGCCTGTTACGGTGAGGTGTTATAATGAATGTCCAAGAGCCTCATGGTTTATGTGGCTGTATTCCATCCCTCCCTCATCCCCTCTGCTTTGGAGATGGCAGCGTATTGAAAGTGAGCTTGACCCCATTTGCTCTTCTCTAATGACACTTCAGGACACTGTAGTTTATTGGGAGGCTCTGTCTGACAGTGCATTTGCAATTATATCCGTTATAGCAGGGAGCAAGCCAGGGAAGCTGAGCACACTGCTATCCTTCATACGTTAACCAAGGGAGCAGGACATTCCACAACAGTCAGGGGACAATTATAATGTGATCGTAATGGGTTACATGACCTGAAAGAAAATGCATCTTTGATGGGATTGCTCAGCTCTAGACCTCTGCCAAGGAGAAACGGGGGCCTTGCCCCCTCTTAAGCGGCTCTCCGTTAATGGGCTTCTTTCAAGGCAGAAAAAGGGTGACATAAAAACACAAGAAGAGCGCAGCTGGATCAGAACAAGGACCCACCTCTAGACCATCATTCTGGTCTCACAGTGACCAAGCACATGCCAGTAGGAAGCTCACTGTGATGGCCTGGGAATCGGATTCAGAGGCTGAACCTGAGGAATCCCAGCCTGCACAGGAGTCCCCGCCTCCAGGACCAGCTGAGCCGGGGCTGGGGCTTGAACCTGAAGGGCCCTCACCTGTGCCGGATCCTCAGGAGCAGACACCAGCTAAATCTGCTCTGGCTCCAGAGGTGATCGAGGACCCATTGCCTACAGGTGCTCCACTCTCAGCCCCGTCAGGGGAAGGTGAGGTTGCCTCTGGGTCCGGTAAGCCTCTCCTGAGCTGCAGAGGCTCAGGGCAGAGAGGCAGAGGCAACTAAGTTATCACAGGAGGAGTGCTCACCTCCAGGCCAGGAGAGGTGAGTCATCTGTGGACCGGGACCGTCCTATGCCTCGGGGCAGATAAAAGCCAGCCAGCCTGGTCCCAGGTTGCGGGAGCAACATCGTTGGTAACCTGTTCCTGCCGGCACCCTGTCCTGCTCTTCTGCCAGAGCTCCTGACCACACCTAACTCGTTGCCTTGGACCTCGCTTCAGCCTTGACAGACAGCCTCTGTGCTAGTCCCGGGGAAAAGGTTACTGTTACCGTAGTCAAAGTTCAGTCCTGAGTCACTAGCCTGGAGATAGTCCACAAAGTGCGAGGTGAGGTCCGAAACAGGGAGCCGGGCGGGGACAGGAACACTCGAAGATCAGAAGCAGGAAGCCGGCCAGGGAACAGGAACACTGGAGGAACAGGACTGGATGCTGGCCGAAACAGCTCTTCAATGACGACGTTGCTCCCGCAACCTGGGACCAGGCTGCCTGACCTTTATCTTCTTCTAAGGCCAGGGGCGGTCCCGGCCCCCAGGAGCCCCACCTCTCCTGGCCTTAAGGCGAGCACTCCTCCTGGGAGAAACCAGTTCCCTTTGCCTCTCTGCCCTAAGCCTCTGCAGTTCAGGAGAGGCTGAAGGGTTACTGGGCCCCGGGGGAGACTCACCTGTAGACACTGAGTCCTCAATCACCTCTGGGGCCAGAATGGATTCACCTGGTGCCTGCTCCTGAGGATCTGGCACAGGTGCAGGCTCCTCAGAATCCAGGCCTTGCCCCAGTTCAGCCGGCCCTGGAGGCGGGGACTCCTGTGCCGGCTGGGATTCCTCCTGTTCACTCTCAGAATTGGAATCCCAGGCCATCACAGCCTCCATACCACACCCTCGACCTTGGACTGGACTCGGACCACGCTGCACGGTAATCCCCCGGGACCAGCACACTCACAAGCAGCAGGTGAGCACAATTGCCCTCTCCCAGTTGTTAAACTGAATACAACTGCCCCATCAGCTGTTAAACAGAAACATACTGTCTCTGACGTCCAGTACCAAGATGAAGGTCTACCAAGCTTGCATGTCAAGCATGCTGCTTTATTGTAGTGAGTCATCAGCAACTTGCAACCTCCAGGAGGGACACCTCAATGCCTTCCGCTTGCGCTGCATCAGGAAGATTTTGGGCATCACATGGCAGGACAGAGTCTCAAAGATGCGCTCACATTCCCAGCATGTTCGCACTTCTGGCTCCGTGACGTCTTCACTGGCTTGGTCGGGTCCACAGAATGGAAGATGGCAGGATTCCCCAAGGATGGGGAGCTGGCTTCAGCCACCAGACCAATTATGGTGTTTCCAAGATGTCTGCAAATGCGACGTAAAGGCTGGTGACATCAACCGTGGGAATCTTTTGCAGGTGACCGTGGTGCCTGGAGACAGTCAGGTTGTGCATTCGTAGCAGTGACCAGAGGCGGAATGACTGCTGGGAGGAGTGTAGAGGGAAGAAACCATGGTGCATCTGCAGCAGCACAACTGGACAGCTTCATCTGCCCCAGCTGCAACAAAACATGTCTCTCCCGTATTGGTCTCTACAGCCACAGCAGGTGCTAAAACCTTCCAACAGTTTGACTTCACCCCCAATGGCACACTCCATCATTTTCTCCCAAGCCAGTTGGATGCCGACAGCACTGTCTCTTTAGGCTGGCGATCTTGATCCATAGCCATAGACAGCCTTGCCTTCCATTCATTTGCCTAATCTCATTTTCAAGCAATCCAAGTTGGTGGTCATCACTGGATCTTGTGACAACCAATGCCATAGTTTACTGTATGAAGGCAAGGTGCTGCTTTTTCTGTCCTGGATCCTCCAACCTTTTGCTTCTTTGGATGACCCCAGATTCTAGCATTTTCTAACACGGTGCATATTTTTTTATTATGCCTCTGTCATGTCTCCTCCCCTCTTACTTGCTTTTTCTCAAAACTAAAAAAGCCCAAACAAAATAAAAAAATACTTTCCAGTAGCACCTTAGAGACCAACTAAGCTTGTTATTGGTATGAGCTTTCGTGTGCATGCACACTTCTTCAGATACCTGTGCATGCACACGAAAGCTCATACCAATAACAAACTTAGTTGGTCTCTAAGGCTCCATGATCACTGCAGATGGTGACAGCAGCC